GATGGCCGCTCCGCAATCCCTTCTTTTGGGATCTGGGGCACTCATGCAGTGTACCCAGTGTGGTTTCTAAGTCCCCAGGTCTGGGACTGGAACCGCGGTCGGCCATGTGGAAGTCCAGCGCCTTAACGACCATGCCACCTGCTGGCCCCTACAGCTTGTTCATGAGAACAAGGCGTTCCAACATGTCAGGAAGTGCCTGGAAGGGCCAGTGCTCACTGGTGCTGGTGTCCTGGCCACCGTGCAGCCTCGCCCTGGTGTGCTGAGGCTTTCCCAGGGGTGCGGGGACCTGGTGCTGGAGGGGCCAGGAGGACAGAGTGCTCATGGGCTTTCCTGCTGTGTGTGTCTCGGCCCGGGGGAGGGGAGAAGCACAGCTGCCCGTGTTTCCTAGCAGCTGGGGCAGTTGGACTGTCACCACATTTCCAGGGACAGCTCCTGTTTCCGAGTGTCCTTTGTGCTGAGGTTGAGGCCACACGACAGGGCTCTCACCAGTGGGACTTCCACTTCCAGTGCTTGTCCTTTAGAAACTGCCAGCAACCTCCCACCTTCTCCCCTCCGTCCCTGCTGCTCAGCCTTGGAGGTCACCGACCCACGGCGTCTGCGGCTTCAGGCAGTGAGAGCTTCCGCCACATTTCGGGTCCTTTAACATGGCCTGCTCTGCTAATCACATGTTGCTGGTGAAAATGAGTGTTAGGTCACGTGTCCAGAGCCGCTCAGAGCCGCATGCACTCTGAAGCCATAAATCGTAGCGATGGGGCTAGCAGGGCGGCGTAGTGGTTATGGTGCTGGATTCCCACATGGCCGACTGCGACTTGAGTCTCAGACCCGGCAGCTTGAAAATCACTTTGTGCACCTGTGCGTGTGTGCCTAAAATCCCAAGGGAGAATGTTGAAGGGATTGCCGTGTGGTCGCTCCTCGGGGAGTGATTTCTCACTTTCCCCCTCTGAGTCTCTCTGTCGCTCTCTTCTCCAGCGAGCATATGTGCCCTATGACAAAAGCCTAAAACAAGTAAATAAAATCATAGCAGCATTAAACGTTGTTTGTGCTGGTGAAGCCGTTTAACAAGAACCCGCCTGGCTGCTTGGACTGGAGCTGGGAAGGAAAACTCGGGCGCTCAATCTCACTCACTTGCATAAGGCGCTGCTGCCCTGGGCCAGTGGTGCCGTGCCGCCGCGCAGGTCAGAGGGCTGGGTGTGCTGCAGGTCGGGTTCCAGCAGCAAAGGCCACGCAGCACCCTCTTCCTCCTGCTCCTCGGACCTTTAGGCTGGAGGAGCCCAGCCACGCCTGGCAGCTCGCCTCACACTCCGCCCTCCACAGTGTAAGTTTGCTGGGCTATTTCTGTATCTTTGCTGTAACTTGCTGGTTCTAGGGAGAGGGCAATAACAGAAATAGGAATAGCAGCGTTCTGAGGGTATCTCCTTGGCATTCTGATGTCTTACTTAACATTTCAGCTGAGAAGCGCCTTGTATTTTCCTCATTCTGGTGTTTAACTGCTCCTCCACTGATGGACGAGCAAGTTGTTTTCCATTTTTTTCTACTAGAAAAAAAAAATACTAGAATGGGAATCAATTTACATGAATCTTTGTCTTTTCTTGGAACAAATTCTTAAAATTCAACACTAGATTAAAGCATATTTTTCTTTAAAATTACAAAATTGTTTTCACAAAGGCTTTATCAAATTATCATCTCATCAAAGGTATACCTATTTCTGCAAGCTTTTTTCAATATTAGATATTAACAGTCCTTTTATTTACTTATTTTTTGAGAGATTTTTGCTGTAGAGCGTGTCTACCCACCAAAGAGAGAGACAGAAAGAACACCAACATTTACACCATAGCAGATGTTTATTGCTTCTTTTTCATTATTAATACTCTCTTATTAATACTCTTTATTCATTTTCCTATTGGGTTGTCTTTTATTTTAATGACCATCTTATTTACTTATTTATTTATTTATTTTCTTAGAGAGATTTTTGCTATAGAGCACATGTACTCGGTGGAGAGAGAGCGAGAGGGAAAATGAAAAGTCACCACTCCAGGGGAGGTGACCATGTCACAACCCCTTCTCCTCCATTCTTTTCTCAGAATTTTGGGCACGCATGCACTTGTGCCCGGCCGGTGCTAGGTCCAGGACTCGAACTAAAGTTAGTCATTTGGAAGTCTAGCACCTTAACCACTTTGCCACCTGCTGGCCCCAATAACTATCTTATTTAACCCAGCATATTTAAAAATGCTCATTTCAGCAATCAATATACCATTGTTAATGAGATAATTTTACATTCTTTTTAAGTACTAAGTCTTCAGAATTCACTTACGATGTGTCTCTAGTTGCACACTAAGTTTTATTAAAAATAGTTGGTCTCTATTTAGGTTTTATAAACTTTACATTTGAAATAGATTCACTCCCAAGTCATTCCGAATATACTGTAGCAGACAGAATAATGGTGTAAGGAGACCCCTGCCCTAATCACCAGAGAGTGGAATACATTATGTTGCATGTCGAAGTGGAGTTAAGGTCGCAAGCCAGCTACCTGAGCCTAAGGAACTTATCCTTACGGGCCCAGTGGAACCACAGGGAAAAGGAAGGCAGAGGAGGGGCTCAGAGTCAGAAAGCAACGCCAAGATTCATGCTTCTGGCTTTGAAGAGGGAGGAAGGGTCCAGGAGTCAAAGAAAGCAGGCAGCTGGGGAAAAGGGAGAGACAGGCCCTCCCCTGGTGCCCCCTGAAGGAACACGGTCCTGCCAGTTCTTAACTGTGGCCCCCCAAGGTCTGTTTCAGACTTCAGGCTTCCAGAACTGGAAGAGAATAGACGTGTTGTTTGAAGTCACTAAGTTGTTGGGATCTGTTAGAACATTAATACATAAACTTCAACGTTTTCCAGTAACTGAATCAAGTACCAACTTTTCTTTTCTTTCTTTCTTTTCTTCTTCTTTTTTTTCTTTTTTGTAAGTTTTAGCTATGGGGCACCTGTGCTTGCCAGAGGGAGGGAGAGAGAGAGAGAAAGGACAGTGAGAAGCACTCCCAGGGGGACAGCTACACCACAATCTCTCCTCCGCTCGAAGAGAGTGATTTGGGTACATGCACGTGTGTATGTTTTTCAAGCCACTGGAAGCTGCCGGGTCTAGGACTTTAACTGCACAGTTGGCTATGTGGGATCCAGCCACCTTCACCACCATGCCACTAGCTGACCCCCAAGTCCTCCTGATAGCTTTTTGAGGTACAACTGGCATACAATAAACTGCACATACTCATCATGCACAATTCGGGAGCTTCTTTAAGTTTTAAATCTTTATTGGGATAGAGCCTGTGGGAGCACTCATGAAAGTGAGAGAAAGAGCCCTCCACGGGGTCTGCTCACAGCCCCTCCCTCCAGCCCTCCAGCCCCATCGGATCTTGGCTCTCGCAGCTGCCCCGCTTGTTTCAGGCTGTGGGGCTGGGGATGCCAGTGCAGTGCCCACGTGGGAGCCGGCCTCTCTTGAGATGCCCGTTACCACCGTGGCCCAGATCCTGCCCCAGCATGTTTTACCATATGTGTACGATGGTGCCACCACCACCGCAACCAAGATGAAAACTTCTCCGTACAACTTTACACAGGGCTGGCAGGTGTCGTGGTGGCTAAGGGCGCTGGACTCCCGTGGCCGACCATGGCTCACGGCTGCCCCACGTAGTCCTGTCATCATTCCTCTTTCACAGAGAAGGAAACTGGGACACAGAGAGGCCACGCCCAGATCGGAACCCAGGCAGTAGGCTGCAGGGCTGGAATTTTAAATGGGTTTCCTGGGCCAGCAGGTGGCATAGTGGTTAAAGTGCTGGACTTTCATGTGGCCTACTGTGGTTCGAGTCCTGAACCTGGCGGCTCGAAACTCATGTCTGGTGTGGGCGTGCCCTAAATCCTGAGAGGATAATGGTGGAGAAGGGATTGTGACGTGGCCATCCTCCCTATGGGGTGATCTCTCATTTTTCTGTCTCTCTCTGTCTCTCTGGTGGGCACATATACCCTGTAGCAAAAAATCTCTTGAAATAAAATGAAATGGGTTTCCCGTGGAAGGAACCAAAAACAGGGAGTCAGGGCAGACACAGTCTGAGTTGAGCAAAGCTGAGCGTGGGTGGGAGGAAGCAAGGCCTCAGCAGAGACGGGGCCACTGGGCGCAGGAAGGGGGCAGAGGAGGCCCTGCCTCGCCTGGCGTGCTTATGGGGACACCTCGTGCCCTTCACTAGGGCTTCCCAGGTAGGAATCTGGCAGCTCAACCCTCCCAAGAAGCGGGAGTTACTGCCCCCTGTGCAGACATAGAAACCGAGGTCCAGTGATGCGGGGTGGTTTACCTGTGCTCACACAGCCTGGAGGCACAAGGCTGGAATGCCATCTCCTCCCCTGCGTCTTCTGGGCTGGCCGCAGGCTTCGGCCTAGGAAGCAGGTGGGCCGGCCGCTATAATGGACACACATGTGCTGGACATAGCTGCACTGGGCCAGCCCTGCTTTACAGGGGGAGAAATGCAGCCTCGCCCAGCCAGGAGGTGGCAGATGGGCTCACACAGATCTGTGACTGATGCTGTCCCGTGTCACCTTAGGAGCCCAGCCCCACTAAGCCAGCCCCGCCCCCCCCTGACCTCCACAGCCCTCCCTTCCTGCTGGCCCGGGAGACTGCACTCTGCAACAGGGGCCCAAGATGGGAGCCTTCCTCCCCCCCAGGCCTGCTGTTCTGCTCTGTGCCTCGCTCGGCCGGGCCTGGCCCTGCTGCAGGACAGCTCAGCTGTGTGAGCACACAGCGCCCACCCCACCCGCCTGGCCGCCCTGGGCAGGGGCCTCGTCCAGGCTGCCCCCCACACAGGACAGGAGGCTCAGGCTCTTCCCCGCACCCCCCCATCTGCCCAGCCAGGCCCTGGAGGGCTCGCCTCTGGCCCTGGGACCCCTCCCTCGGCCCCCAGGGGTTCTGGCCACTGGAGCCCTTCCTCGCTGTTTTCCTCGCCGTCTCACACTCCCTGCATTTGTTTCTTTCCACTTTAGGGATTTATTTCTCTGCAAGGGACTCAAGTGACTGAACTTCTGCCTGGCCCCGAGGACCCCGGGAAGCACCTCTTTGAGATCAGCCCAGGTAGGCCCGAGCACGCCACAGCACTGCCTGGGTCACGGAGTGACTCTCCTCCCCTCCCCTCTTGCCGGGGCTCCGGATTCTGGAAGCTTCCTATCAGCCTAGTCAGGTGGGACCTGGGAGGCGGTGCTGAGGCTGACATTGGTCCAACTGCAGCCGGCAAAGCTCCCTTTTCCTCAGGGCCTGTGAAGTGTGTAGGCCCAGAAAGGTCAGGTGCATCTTCTGAGGTTACACGGCTGGGAGGGGAGCCTGGCCTCTCAGGCCAGACTGCCCCACGGTGGTGGGCTTTCTGTTGCACCAGTTTCTGACTGAGGCTGCAGCTCTAGCCCTGTTAGGGTGTAATACTAATGATGGTTGGGTTAGACTAACCCCACCCAACCACGGCAGCTGCCATCGCAGGACACCTGGGCCTACCACGTCCGACTCCGAAGTCTCTGTCCCCCTAGCCCGAGCTGCCCTTGAGGTCCCGAGGTGAGCAGGGCACCGTCTGGGCCTTAAGGGGTTGGGGACATTTCCTCCCTCAGTTCAAGGCCGTGCATTGAGTCGTGGGAAAAGTCATGACGTATTTTTCTATGGAAAATGCTGTTTCTTTCCACTTTAGGGATTTATTTCTCTGCAAGGGACTCAAGTGACTGAACTTCTGCCTGGCCCCGAGGACCCCGGGAAGCACCTCTTTGAGATCAGCCCAGGTAGGCCCGAGCACGCCACAGCACTGCCTGGGTCACGGAGTGACTCTCCTCCCCTCCCCTCTTGCCGGGGCTCCGGATTCTGGAAGCTTCCTATCAGCCTAGTCAGGTGGGACCTGGGAGGCGGTGCTGAGGCTGACATTGGTCCAACTGCAGCCGGCAAAGCTCCCTTTTCCTCAGGGCCTGTGAAGTGTGTAGGCCCAGAAAGGTCAGGTGCATCTTCTGAGGTTACACGGCTGGGAGGGGAGCCTGGCCTCTCAGGCCAGACTGCCCCACGGTGGTGGGCTTTCTGTTGCACCAGTTTCTGACTGAGGCTGCAGCTCTAGCCCTGTTAGGGTGTAATACTAATGATGGTTGGGTTAGACTAACCCCACCCAACCACGGCAGCTGCCATCGCAGGACACCTGGGCCTACCACGTCCGACTCCGAAGTCTCTGTCCCCCTAGCCCGAGCTGCCCTTGAGGTCCCGAGGTGAGCAGGGCACCGTCTGGGCCTTAAGGGGTTGGGGACATTTCCTCCCTCAGTTCAAGGCCGTGCATTGAGTCGTGGGAAAAGTCATGACGTATTTTTCTATGGAAAATGCATCATGACTTTTCCAACAACCCAATAAATGGCTTAGGCAGAGGGCGAGCAGTTAGTTACCTTGAGGCAGAGCAGAGGGGAGGTGTCCCCGAGGGGCCCCGCTTGTGTGTTTCTGCTCTGAACCCAACTCCAGAGGAGGAAAACTCCACAGTGCTTGGAAACGTGATCGAACTCCAAGTATGATCGACCTTAGTCATCGTTCTATTTTTGCTCCCCAACCTGCGAACGTGACAAGCTTTTAAAGTAGAATTAGAAATAGGGGAACGCTGTGAGCGCCACCTGGTGGCGATCAGCCAGTTCCACGGCTGCGCGTCCTGCCCACCTCCGCTTTCAGCCAGGCCAGGCCTCTGACCCCAGAGAGCTCCGCTGAGCGCCCCGCGCTGAGCAGGGTGGGAGGGCAGTTGGGGGGCTAGTGCCACGGGTCGGCTGTCCTCTCTGGCTGTGGCCCACGGCGCACCGCCCCACACAGCTGATATAGGAGTCCTGAGTGGGGGAGCGGCCACTTTGCTGCAGGTGAGGCTCTGCGCTGGCAAGTGATGTGGTGGTTAAAGTGCTGGACACTCCCACATGGCCGACTACGGTTCGAGTCCTGACCTGGTGGCTTGCTCTCTTGCTTTCTCTCTTCTGTGTGTGTGTGTGTGTGTGTGTGTCTGGTCAAATTAAAACAAATGAATGAATAAATTAAATTAAGTAAATAATTATTTTTAAATAAGTAAAGTTTAGGGCAGTCTGTAGGGAGGGGTGACTGACACTTCGTGTCTTGCTTGGACAGCTGCTAACACACCAGTCTTGCTTTTCATGGTTACCAGGCAGGAAAAGTCAAGCAGGACTGACGGCAAGTGGGGGACAGGAAGACAAGGCTGGTTTGGTGAGCCGTCGCTGTCTGGCCGCCCTGTGCAGTAGTTGGTCAGGGAAAAGTGAGCGGAATTGACAAGGGCAAACAGACAGGAAGGCCGCCTTGGCCCAAAGGACCGGAAGTGCTAGCAGACGCAGAACGACAGGCCACTGTGTGAGCCCAGAGGAAGGGACCGTGAAGCACTCAGAGACCGGAAGGCCTTTGGACTGAGGGGCAGCAACCCTGCTCCCTGAAGGGTGAGTCGGCCGGGTGAGAGGCCGCATGGGGCCGGGGAGCACTCCGCCCAGGGGAAGCAGCCCGTCTGAGTTGGGTGAGGACAGGGCTAGGCTGGTCCCCTTCACAGCTTCGTCCCAACCAGTGTAAAGTGAGTGTTGCAAGCAGCTGGGGGGTTAGACTCGCTTCAGAGTGGGAAGTGATCCTCGATGGCGGGTGACAGGAGGGACAGTGGTTCTCAGACTTTGGAAGCCCCAGACTCACCTGAGGGCCCAGCACACAGGCAGTCAAACCAGCTCCTGAGGAGAGGCGGGCCTTGCGGAGATGAGCAGGGCGCAGATGCTGCTGAAGGTATACGTTTAGGGGGGCAGGCGAAGCCGCCCCAGGGTTTCCATGGCCACCCTCCACCTCGGGGAACAGTGGGTGATATGCACAGGGCTGACTTGTGTTTTGGTCTCCGGACCCATTTCCCTCCGTCAGAAGCAGTAAGACAGATCTTGGGGTCTCAGTGCCAGATGCAGAAGCCAGAATGCCCCCCAGACCAGTCTGCCACCCCTGGCAGTGCCCCCCGAAGGTGACTAACCCCAGGACATGGTCTGTATGGTACCCCCAGGGAAGCTGACCCAGGCACCAGAGCCTCAGCACACGGTCAAGCAAGGCAGGTGACAAAGACACAGCTCCAGGCGGCTGCAGTTGAAGGGGCGGGACACGGACAGCCCGTCAGCCCTCCAGCCGCCCCCACATAAGCCTGACCACAGAGAAGGGGAGCCCTTACCACTTCCCAGCAGTGACTGGGACTAACCCATCTGCCAGCCTGAGGGGACGGGGCTCAGAGATGGAATCGGCTTGAGTCCACACCTGGGTTCCAGACCCATCTCAGCCCCTAGCTTCACAGAGGAATCAAATCGGGTTTCCCCTTCTCTGGGCCTCTTTCCCGACGTGTAGGACAAGAGGACTGGCCTTGGTGCCTCCGAGAAGCCAGCCTGCCCTAGTAGAACGACTCATTAGTGTTCCATAATCAGGCTTGCCGGAGGGAACGGACTGTGGTCAACTCAGGGCGCTCTAGCCCTCAGAGCCCCCTGGGGTCCTGAGCTGCCTGTGCTGAGCAGCCTGCAGCTGGAGCGGAAGGCACGGGGCCTGCTATTGCGGAGGCCTGACCTTGAAGTGGAGCCAGAGGCAGATTACCCCGCGGACGTAGACTGATACCGTGTGCCTGACATGCCCAGAGCATCCCTGATTACATTAACCCGTCTGGAGGGAGGGAGCTGAGATCAGCCTATCTGTGCACCCGCCGGTACCAGTCAGCCTGCACCCTGGCCTGACCTCGCACAGCCCACTGAGCTGGAACAGAGCGCAGACGATGGCTGGGCGACAGGAAGCCGTTAGACAGACGTTCCTGGAGGGGGCCCCCCCCCCGGGGGGCCCCAGCCGCACGCGCGAGCAGGGCTGCTCACACTGCGGCCTCCATCTGGCCCTCCTGTCTTAGCAGGACCGGGTGTGGGAAACTCCCCTGGGGTCCCGGGAAGATGCCCTGGAAGAGGAATCTGCAGCTCAGTGCTTCCAAACTCGTCCTGGGAGACCCGCCTTTTCCCACCTCGGGTGCTGACTCCAACCTGCGCTTGCACCTCTGGTGCCACCTTTAACTGCCACATGCTGCACAAAGTACCTTTGGCTCTTTGGTCTTGGGGGCTGGGGGTTCTGTTGCTCCTGTCAGACCTGGGGTCCGATTTACCCCTGCAGCTCGGCTGGTGCTCCATGCCTGGCCTCGAGGAAGAGCAGGAGAAGGTGCACTGGTTCTGCAAGCATCCTGGGACGTGGGACTGCCCGGCTGGCCTGAGCCCTCCGGGGTGGCACTGGATCTGGAGTGTGCTGGCACGGGTGTGCCCGGGTTCTCTGGTGTAAGCTGCCACTCTGGCCTGTGTTGCTTCTCCCATTCTGGCCGGGTGGTACAGACCCCTAAGGATCTGCCTGTCCTGCTCGGACATGTGGACGCCCACAGGAGGGGCACCTTGGGAGGCTCTGGAAGAGCAGAAGGGCGTGAGCAGTCAGAGGACAGACCGGGTAATGAAGGGGTCCAGGGAGCCACTCTAACAGGGCAGTGGACACCGGCCCTGACCCAGGACTGGGGCTGACTGTGAGGCAGGGTGACCAGTGCCAGTAAGGGACCTAGGGAGCTGGGCAACTGAGAAAGCACCCCCCGCCCCAGGACTAGCAGTTAGCATAATGGCTAAGTCGCTGGACTCCCATGTAGTCAATCACAGTTTGAGTCCCAGACCCGGTGGCTTGAATTCAGGCGTGTGTGCATGCCTGCCCAGGATCCTGAGAGGAGAATGGAGAAGGGATTGCAGCATGGCTATCCCTGGGGTGATTTCTCACTTTCTGTCTCTCTGTCTTTCTGGTCAGTACACGCGCCCTATAGCAAAAACCTCTCCAAAAAAAGAAAAAAAAAGCACTCCGCAGAGTGAAGTGGAAAAGCAGGCAGGACCCTGCGAGCTCGCCGAAGCCCAGGCCAGTGCTGCACTACCCTGTCAGTCCAGCAGGGAGCGGGCGTGTGCAGCCCTCCTGCTGTGCAGCCTCTGTGTGCCAGCTCCCCCAGGTGAGGTGCAGGCGCTGCTGCCCGCCCCTTCCAGGCCAAGTTCCACAATCAGCTGCTCTAGGAAGTACCACCACCCCACTCCATTCCCCACACTCCCCACTCCCCTCTTCCCTCAGGAAGTCTCTTCATAGTGAAGAGTTCAAATCCAGGCCCAGCACCACAGCTCCACGGCCTTGGGTGAGCTGCGGACTTCTCTGTGCCTGTGTGACAATGAGGCCAGTCAAAGTATTGACACAGGTTAGGAAGGAAGTCCCATGGGGCTGTATAGGGGTGACCTAGGAGCCTTTATGGTGGTGCGGTGAAGGATCCCGACCGCGGCGTTGCGTATGCGGAGCTCAGGTGACGGTTGCACCCAGCCACACCACACACACGTACACACCAGTGCGAGCCTGTGCATGGCCGCGTCGGCTCTCGGGGTCCTTCCAGGACCGGGTTCCTGGTTTGACTATTGTGCTATGGTCACATAAGACATTCGCACTTGGGCGGGGAGGCTGGATGGGGTCACAGAACTATTCAAAATAAAAAGCTCTTTAGAAGAACCTGCCCCCTGGAACCAGCAGATGGCATAATGGCTATGTTGCTGGACTCCCATGTAGTCGACCGCGGTTCAAATCCCAGACCCGGTGGCTTAAACTCACGGCAGGTGCATGTGTGTGCATGTGCATGTGTGCCCAAGATCTCGAGAGGAGAATGGAAGAGAAGGGATTGCAGCATGGCCAGGAGTTCTCGCTTTCTGTCTCTCTGTTTCTCTGTCTC